AGTGGTATGAATGCAGTGGTCCTTTAAATGTTACCATGCAATGTACCCTGCAATCTACCTCAGTGATACCATTTGGATTTAATTCACGAAAATGCTTTAAAATCTTTACACAATTTTACATATTAAATCCGAATGGAAAAAAAAAACCAGAAAACTGAGAATAAAATTGCAAGATTTTATGGCTGTATGGCATTTTCTTTTCTCAATCAGCTATTTTACCATTTGGATTTAATTCATGGAAATTTGGAGTTTAGGGGATAAGCCCACAAGATAGAATAATAGCTGTTAGAGGATGTTTTAACTATAGTTTTTATGTCTAAACCCCATCAAGGTTATTCAAACTAAACTCTGATTTCTGGGAAATGAAAAGCTGATTTCATGTAGGACAAGATTACTGATAATTATATTTGACCTATTTTAGACAACATTTTGCAATTCAGATTTTAATTTATAATTTGGAGTTCAGAGAATAGAATGAACTAATATTCTCAATTTATTGTTTTACTAAATCTATTATCACCCACTGAACAATATTTGCAATGGTAGTAGAGTTAGACACTTGGTCTAAGGGCGGTCAGGTGCGACCGCCCTTAGACCAAGTGTCTAACTCTACTACCATTGCAAATATTGTTCAGTGGGTGATAATAGATTTAGTAAAACAATAAATTGAGAATATTAGTTCCACCAAAGTTTAGGACTTACTCTTGGGACACTTTGTTTCGAATCTGACTTGGGAATAGAGATAGTTAAACATCAGGGAAATGTGGCAATCTAAATTGGGGAGGGAGAGTGTGAACTGGCATCTCCATGTAGGGTCTGACTACAGAGTTGGTTATTTGGCAGTGGCAAGTAGGGACATTTTGGAGAAATTAAATGTACATTGTTTGGAGTGGTATATGGTCAAAAAAACAATAATCTTGCAACAGGGCCCATTGTTCATTAGTTTGAATTCTGCACATGGTCACAAATCCATAGTGAACTGTACCTGCCTTGAAAGAATCATGGGGCTTTATTTATTTATGATAATATTTTCATAATGTTAGGAATAAAATGGGTATGTTAGATTAAAAGTCCAATATAGATTAACCTAAATGATTTCTCCACATCAGCCCAGCTATCTTGGGATTTGAATTTCCCCGCTCAATTCACAGAATTCCTGATAATTCTCAGTTTACTTAATAAAACCAATTCTTGGACATTGGAGTATTAAAGCTGCTTCATGCTTTCCCCAAACCATATTACATATTTTAAATATGTTTACCATATACACATACCATTTCTAGACTGTATTTATTTTCTGTGTCATCTACTGTATCATACACACATTTCTATTTTACTGTAAATTCACTGATAGATGTTTAAGTAGTGCTTCTTTTATAAAGTTCCCTATACTGTGGGGTAAGTGCTTCCCAAAACACATATTCCATAACCATACAGAATCATTATCATGCCAGTTTTGAAGATGGCTCAATATGAACAATTGAAGCCTGCGCATGCGCACAGCCTTTGTCCAATATGGGTTTGAGTGAGTTCACGTGCTTTGAGAAGGGCCGAAGCCAGGCCACGCCCTTTCGTGTAAGTTCTCATATCTCCGCCCGCTGCCCTCGCATTGGTTCGCAGACCATCCAATACTGTCTGTGATTGGTCAACTCTGCCTGCTTTTACGTTCAGCTCCCTTTCCCTCTTCCGGGTCTGCTGCGCTGATTGCCCAGAGTTGAAGGAGAGAGTATGAGGAGAGTCACCCTGTTTGTTAAGGGAAGTGCCAGGCAAGGCAAGGTAAGTTGGCATGAATGAGCCAGGGCGTGATATCAAAGCCTTGGCCGCTCTAAGCTGGCTGAGGATTCTTAGAAACACAGTCCACAACCTCAGAGTGCCAATTGTTCACATAGCATAATAAACAGAACTCCACTAAACAAAGGCTTAATCTGACTTTCCTTTTACAAGTCACCTGGCTACACATAGTTGGAATAAGGGGCAGGCAATATAGTAATAAATGTACTTTTTAATATATATATATATATATATATATATATATATATATATATATATATATAAAAACTTCCTTTGCAAGTAGGTCAAGAAAATGTATTTGTGCAAGTTTATAACCAACAAACTCTCTGAAAAAAAATGGTTTATTTCCCCTTCAGTGATTGTGTACCCAAAACCTTGAAGGTAAAAAAAAATAAAAATGTAAATGCAATGACTCACCTGAGTTTTTGTTCTTCAGGTGCTTCCTGTCAATGGATCGCTTCCTGATCTGCTGTTTGTGGCCAGTGCTAAGTTTGGAATCCAAGCAACATGTTTATACAATGAGAGAGGTGGAGAGATAGATGACATTGACCTGATCAGGTACAGTGTTATGTTTGCAAAGCAGCGTGTATGTGGGAATATGCATACATTGTCTATTTATTATTAACCCAGTGTCCTTTTATAGTTAATTCTATTAAAAATAAATCCCTAAGATACTTGATACTGTTATCTTCGGTGTTATTGAAAGCAATTGTGTACCATAAATATTGTTAAAACACATACAAAAGCATGCAATACCACAGTGAATACATTATGCTAAACTATATCTGCTAAGGTCCTTTCGATTGACTTATACTTTTTTAAATATACTACAGCAGATATTGACTACTTGAGATTGATGGCATCTTGGAATGCTGTGGTTTTTTATTTTAGGAGTCTCTGTAGAAAAATGCAGAGTTGCTTATTCTTTCACTAATAAAAAAAAATAGGTTGCTTCCTGGATAGGACTTGGTCTCCTCCTGATTTGTGAGGTTACATTTCACTGAGGGAAATTCCCAAACTTTAGGTGCTGTCAAGACCAGGCTTTGTTCATGCCAGTTATATCCAAATTAAACCTATAATAATGTTCCAGATACTCTGCGGATCTGCAAATGACTGTTTGTTTTATTCCGTGATTTTGTCAACAATCTGGTCTTTGTCAAGACTTGACAAAGACGAGATTGTTGGTTGAAACATTGCACGCAAGGGTCTGAGACATCATGTGTATTTGTTTACTAAATAGTAAGAACATGGGTCAGTTTTTATTTCTAAGTATTTGTTCTAACACTGGCTGGCATTCATCCTTGATGTTGGCGCCTTACTTGACTACTTTTCTTGGCACTGTTTTAGAAATCAGAGTGAGATTTATGATGTTTCCTTTATTAATGAGCTAGATCTGTAGTTTCAGACTTGATACATTTGCAATTTTTTTTTTTTTAAAGATGCAATGTGTATATAATGTTGTATCATTTTTCTTTCTCATTGTGGTGTTCTTGATTATTTTGCCCCCCAGAGATGATGATGTTTTATACGTGTGCGGGGAAGAACCTCTTACAGGTATGTCTGCTTCAGTCACTCATCAATGTTATTTGCATTTAATCTAACTTTCTCTTCCATTTACCCTTTGCCAGTGATGCCTAACCTTTTGGCACTTCAGCTTTTTGGACTACACTTGTTGTCATATTTTCATGTCATCTCATATATTTCCATACCTGTGTTCATACCTTAGATCCAACAACTGATTCTATGAATGAGCCAATGATTATGGAGCCGCTAACTGGAAGTCACACAGACTGGCTGACGCTCAATGTAGGGGGACGTTATTTCACTACAGCACGGTCGGGTCCTTTTTTAACTTCTTATCATTAGTGCAGGAATTGTTAAGTGTTTAGTGGATTACTCTAGGATAAGTTGACATAACATGAAACTGGCAGGGGGAAACTTGCTAATAATGGATTGTGAAATGAAGTATGATTTGTTGAGATTACTACCACCACGATAAAGGAAGGGACTCCAAATATTCCCATTCAATGGCCTTGATTGTTGTGTTTTTTTGCTCCATCTATCATGTTTGATATGATAAATCTAGTTGGTTTATTAAGTAAACTGAATTGTAGTGAATTGAAATCTAAACTGCAATCTTTAGGTGAAAATAACAAAGGTTATAATATAACAGAACTTGAACATAATGTATTATATGGTCCACTGTGAATAACCTTTTATCTTGCTTTATTTCTTCCTATAGGAGCACTCTGGTCAGTAAGGAGCCAGACAGCATGCTGTCTCACATGTTCAGTGACAGAGGTTTGTAGCACCGATTTTATAAACAAGTGTGTCCGTTTATAGTAAATCACAATCTATCTGGTCACCAACTCTTTGAGTGCAGTGTTCAGAGGCAGTTCATTTCCCAGTGTGGTATAGGTGAACAGGCTGCAAGTATTCAGGTCACCAGGTGGCAGTATATCTCTGAATATTCTGCTGTGTAACTCTGTGAAAAGGTTGTTAACCAGATTTGAGAGACTGCAGGTCCAGTTAGGCATAATAAGTGTTAGAAATCACTAAGTCATTAGCCCCCCCCCCCAACCTCCCCCAAAGTTTGGGAACAGTTGCTAAGGGAGCAATTTTTAGGTACATTCTGCTGGCTAGCAGGAGATGGTTGTAACCTTATTTAAACAGAGCTCTCATCACCTCTTCAGTCCATTTGCTTAAATATGTTTGGTGCTTTTTAAAGACATCAATAATCCTAATAATGGGATGCATGTAGAGTTGAGTAACCCAAACCGCACTTTAGGATTTTCCAGGAGGCCCCTGGCTCATGCCCAAAGAATCTATCTAACTACAAAGATATAAGGGATCTACATTGCAGACATAATCTGGATATCTGCAGTTTATCAAAGATCAGTTCCCATGTTTCCCCAGGGTGCTCTGTACATAGAACTCGCTTCTTGGATGTGGCAGTACTAGTACACTCATTGAACCTTACTAAACATAAACACTTTTGTGAACTGTTCAGGCTTTTTTGATTAACTTAGACTTGTCAAAGACCTCATAGGGTTTACATTGTTGCCTATTGGTGGCCAAATAAAGGGTTTGTAACAATTTTGGCAGTGGAATCATTTTTTTTTTTTTTTTTTAATGAGTGGTAAATGTGAAGTCCCCAGCCTTGAGTGCTATGAGTATTGGAATTGCCTACAAAAATATAATACTTAAAGGGACTGTAAATCAGGGTGTGTACTAGCAGTAAATTGTCATGATTTGGAAAAACTATTTTTTTTATAAAAATGCTAGTCTTAGATTGGAGAACTGTTCCATCACAATTATTTTGGACTACCGTGTGTAGATCATTTTTTAGATTACTTCCATTCATATTTAATGGATAAAACCTTTCAGTGTTGAGAGTAACTCCTTCAGTTCATTCATACACTTACTACTTTACATTGTAGCAGAGTGTCATTTCTTCAGTGTATATAGTAAAATATTTACAAAAATGTGAGGGGTGTACTCATATTTGTAAAATACTGTATATAGTTTAATTAAAAATTGCTTCCGGTTTAGTTATTTAGGCTTAAATTTTTGTAATTTTCTGAATTACCCAAAATACTTGGTTTAGAGGATAACTCATAGTATTTTTATTTTTAGAAGCCTGGGGGAATAAGCGTGATCACAGAGGGGCGTTCCTGATTGATCGTAGTCCAGAATACTTTGAACCAATACTGAACTACCTACGTCATGGACAGTTAATTGTCAATGATGGAGTGAACCTGTTGGGTAAGCATTGCTTGAATTCCTGAATTGAGGAAGTCGCAGTGACTGGAAATTCTAAATGTCTGACAAACTTAAATATCTTCTTTTTTTTTTTTTTTTTAATTTCTTTTTTTGCAGGGGTCCTGGAAGAAGCCAAATTTTTTAACATAGTTTCCTTGATTGAACACCTGGAGTTGGCAATAAAGGTTAGTTTACATCATTTTTAAAGCATATGGTAGTGTATGAATGTATTCTATTATACTAAATAAGCGTGTGGTGTGGGGGTGTGTTTTTTTTTTATTTTTTTTTTATTTTTTTTAATTTAATTATGATTATTAAAGGGACTGTTCAATAATGATTTAACGCTGTACAATGGGACTGTGCCAGGGAACTCGGTGGGAAGAAGTGTTTATGGTGCCTAGTGTGTCCCCTAAAGTAAACCCAATGCTCACTCTGACTGCAATGACAATGCTGGTCATGTCAGTTCTGCTATAGTGATTTGACATCTTTATGTTGTTCTCAACCACCTTTTTACCCTATTACAGTGATACTGCCCACAGGCACATTTCCTGATGGTTTTTATTTTTTTATTTTATTCTTTATATGATCGTGCATATAGGGTACAAATAGGCAAGCTATGCCCCAACTGCTAATGCTAGCTTAACGATCAACATTGGAATACTTTTGTAGGCATCCAGTAAACATTTCCTGATGTTTAATGGGGTGTCTGGTTTTTATTTTTTATAATGAAACTTTCCCTTCAGATCTATATTGCTAAACTTACAAACTGCCCAACTGTTGCAGATGTATTACAGTCAATAGAGTAGTAAGTCTTGAGTTTGTTTGGTGGCTTTTTTTTTTTTTTTTTCTCTCCCTTTTTCTGTGTGTCATATTTTTCTATGTAGAAGTCTTCCTCTTGTAGCTTGATTATGTAGTGCAAAAAACGTTGTAGAACCAGTGCAAATTTTTTTTTTTTTTTTATCAATATAATTCTAACACCGTAGGCACTGTAACCACACATCATTTAAGTGTTATAGTGTCTCTTGTCCCCTTATTCAGTGTTAAACATTTTTTGAGTGAATTAATGCTGCACAAGTGTCTGCAATCTGATTGCAGCCCAACTTCTATGTGTTTTTCATGCTTAATTAGGAAGAGTTACTCAAACATCCATGGGCGTGCGGGTTTAGTTGATTGTTAGCTGACTTATCTCAGCCTCTCACAACCGCCCATTGCTGGTGTGAATAGGTGTGGGTAAGGAAGAGTGTAGTCTCTGCCTTAGCCACGCCTCCAGTAAGGACCAGGCTGTGGGTGGCCAGGGACCTTCATTCAGTGTTCTATATTTCAAAAGCAGTTTAACACTGAATTAAGACACAATGCCAGGGAATTCCAGGTACTATAACCAATTTAAGGAAATTAAAATTAAAGCTCTGTAGAGCTGCCATTTAACTGTCAGTATTATATTTAAATAATTTAAAAGGTAAAGATTTTACTTCTAAAAATTTGTATCTGCTATCGTACATTACATTCTGTCCAATGTGTTTTTGTTTTAAACTCTTACATCTCACGGATGGGAAGACTTTGCATTTTATAATCACACATGCATCTTCTACATCAGATTAATTTATATGTGGATCTATGTGAAATTCTAGATATATTTGGCATCTTCCTGTTAAAATAAATTTATTAGAGGAACTTTTCAAATTAAGAGGAAGTATAAGCACTCTAACCTGTAAATGACCACATAATTAGTATGGGTTTTTTCTATTCTAAAATGCATGCTGGTACTTTTTTTTAAATCTCTTGTAATAAATTTCTGAAATTGTATGATTGGAGAGGTTTTATTTACGGGGGGAGGGGGGGAGAGGGAGACCAATTGTTTTGTTAACAGAAGATACATTTTTATTTTTTTTTTCAATTTTTTTAAAAAAATTTGTGTCCCTACAGAATTCACAGCCAGCAGACGATCACTCTCCCATCTCTCGTAAGGAATTTGTGCGTTTTCTTCTTGCTACTCCAACAAAATCAGAACTGCGATGTCAGGTAAATGGCACATACATCTGCTGTGTGATAAGGAGCTTCTCTAATTCTATGTACAGTGATTAAGACCTTGATGGAGCTTTGCGAAATAACTTTTATTTCTAATAAAATAAAATCAGCATGGTTTTATGAAGCACAGGTCATGTCAAACTAACTTGATTGCGTTCTACGAAGAAGTAAGTAGAAGTATAGATCAGGGTGTTGCCGTGGATGTGATCTTTTTGGATTTTGCCAAGGCATTTGATACAGTTCCACACAATAGATTAGTGTTCAAACTCAAGGAAATCGGTCTAGATGAAAATGCTTGTTCTTGGGTAGAACATTGGCTTAAAAACAGAGTACAAAGAGTTGTCATTAATGGTAAATTTTCAAGCTGGACAGAGGTGGCAAGTGGTGTCCCTCAGGGGTCTGTTCTGGGACCCCTTCTATTTAACATGTTTATAAATGATCTTGAAGACCGCATTGAAAGTCATGTTTCAGTGTTTGCAGATGACACAAAACTTTGTAAAACAATACAATGTGAGCAAGATATTACTTTGCTGCAGAGGGATTTAGATAGACTGGGAGACTGGGCACTCAAATGGCAGATGAAATTTAATGTTGAAAAATGCAAAGTTATGCACTTCGGCGTAAAGAATACACAAGCAACGTATACCCTTAATGGAAGCGAATTAGGGATAACAACACATGAAAAGGACTTGGGAATTGTTATAGACAACAAACTATGCAACAATGTGCAATGTCAATCAGCAGTGGCCAAGGCCAGTAAGGTATTGTCATGCATGAAAAGGGCATTCATTCTCGGGACGAGAATATCATTTTGCCTCTTTATAAATCACTGGTAAGACCCCATATTGAATATGCTGTGCAATTTTGGGCACCTGTTCTAAAGAAGGATATTATGGCACTAGAAAAAGTGCAGAGACGGGCTACAAAATTAATAAAAGGAATGGAACATATCGGCTATGAAGAAAGGTTAACAAATTTAAACCTATTTAGTTTAGAAAAACGTCGCCTGAGAGGGGATATGATAACATTATACAAATATATTGGGGCCAATACAAACCATTGTGTGGAAATCTATTCACAAACCGGACTTTACATAGGACACGAGGCCATGCGTTTAGACTGGAAGAAAGAAGATTTCGTCTAAGGCAAAGGAAAGGTTTTTTTTACTGTAAGAACAATCAGGATGTGGAATTCTCTGCCTGAAGAAGTGGTTTTATCAGAGTCCATACAGATGTTCAAACGGCTACTAGATGCATACTTGCAAGAACAGAATATTCAAGGATATAATCTTTCAATGTAGGGTAATAACTGCTTGATCCAAGGATAAATCTGACTGCCATTCTGGGGTCAAGAAGGAATTTTTTTCCTAGCTTGTTGCAAAATTGTGCTTCAAACTGGGTTTTTTTGCCTTCTTTTGGATCAACAGCAAAAAACAAATGTGAGGAAGGCTGAACTTGATGGACGCAAGTCTCTTTTCAGCTATGTAACTATGTAACTATGTAATACTGAAAGATGACAAAAACACAATCTGTATGCCTCTTCCTTTTGCAGGGTCTGAATTTTAGCGGAGCTGACTTGTCCCGCCTGGACCTGCGATATATAAATTTCAAGATGGCAAATCTAAGTCGTTGTAACCTTACTCACGTCAACTTGTGTGGAGCTTGCTTGGAGCGTGCAGACCTGTCTGGATCTGTGTTGGATGTAAGGAAAGCCCCATAATAAATGTTAGCAAGCCACTATTGTTAGGGTACTGGACATTTTGTCCTCCACCCCATTACTGAAAATTACCATAATTTATACAGTCTAATGTATTCCATGATAGTTGTAGAATCTGCTCTCTAAAGTAATGTAGAAGGAATTGGGGTACTTCTATAAGAGCTTGACATCTATTCCTTGGTGTTTCTAATCCAGTTAATAGAACACAAAATGAATTGGGACAAAATTTCAAACCACAACGTAAACAAAACCTTTTTACTTATTTTATTTATTTAAAACACCTTAAGGACACATGACGGAAATATTTTGTCATGATTCCCCTTTCTTCCAAAAGTTGTGTCCTTAAGAGATTTACGGGACCTTGGAACCACTTTTTTTTGTTGTTGTTGTTGTTGTTGTGTGTTTTTGGTTTTTGTTTTTGACGGGGGGGGGGGGCAGTAGGATCTCCTTATGGAAGATACAGGTTTTACTGATTTTAAACAGAGAACAGGAAGGTTTAAAAGACATATACAATCTGATGTTCTCTTAAATGGACACTCTAAGCCTCATTGTTGTGTTTTATAAATTATGGTGCAAGAAGAACCCCTGTCGACTTGATTTGGTAATAACTTTTTTTTTTTTTTCAGCTATAAACCTCCCAGTAACAGGCATTCGCATACTCCTAAAATCCCAACCTCCCCAGACAGGGAAGAAACACTCTAAATAGTATTGCACATCAAATCAGAAGTAACTCCTGGGAGAGGTGCATGCAGGTTTTGTTGCTGCTTAGAAATGCCAAACTTCGCTTGGTTGCCGGGTCTCTTCTATCAAATAAAAACCCCTTAATCCACTAAAAAAGAACTATCTTTATTCAAATGTGCTGGATTAATGCTGACCTGTTTCTTGCCTTTAATGACATGTTTAGATGCTAAATTTGAATATATTTTTCTTTCTTGATGGGAGAGACCTGACCGCCAAGTTCAGTAACTAAGATTAGTCCTGTGCCGAGGAGCCTAGGCAGAAGCTCCATTAATCTGATTTGATGAGATGTATTGGTGTGTCACTGCTGTTAGTATTTGGGAATTGAACTGGGAATTGTAGAGCACTGAAAAGGGAATTGTGACATTTTAAGCCAAAATAGCCATATTGGAAACATTCTCTCACGGCTATTGTTTCAGCCATACCACCTAGCCCTGAAATTTATTTCATTGTCAATTGCTGGTATATTCAACCCCACATGCATGAGTAAAATCAAGGAGCTGCACCCATATGCTGGGCTCAATGTGATGGATTCATAGGCAGTCCCACAAGAGTACTGTTGCTGTCCTCTTTCAGGCAACTGTTTATGTCTCTACCTTACAGGGAGCCAATCTCCAGGGCGTGAAGATGCTATGCTCTAATGCTGAGGGTGCCTCATTGAAAGGCTGTAATTTCGAAGACCCATCTGGCCTGAAAGCAAATTTAGAAGGTGACAAACTAAACCCCTGTCATGCATGCTACACCTTTTTAAAGGAGAAATATGTTTGTGTTTTATCTTCTCTGATTAATTTGTTTTATTCTAATTTCTTTTTTTCACTATTCGCTTTATTTTTTTTATTTTTTTTTTTTGCTTTGTTTTCTGTGTGTATCTATCTAATCTGTCTATCTTGTATCTAAAGGTAGTATTAAACAAGAGCCTCTTTGCAATTACAGGTTCCAAATTTGGCCGCTAGGATGCCTAATACATTTGTACTATCGTTTTGTTGCTCAAGCAATTCTTTAAAGGAACACTATTCACCCAGACCACGTTTTTGCAATGCAGTGTTCCTGTCAGTTTAACCCTGCAATCTAAAACTGGGTTAAATCCGCCTATAATGGGGTGGATAGAAGGAAATGTGTAGTCCCCCAAAAAATTGTTCTTTTCAGAAAGAAGGATTCCCACTAAGCGTATAGATTTTAATTTTTCACTGTTTGCACCCAAGTGAATAATTCCTGAAATCTAGATTGGCAGGTCATGGTAGAATGCAAACTGGAACACTAGTCACCAGAACAACTTTAGCTTAATGAAGCAGTTATGGTGTATAGATCACTCCTGCAGTCTCACTGCTCCATTCTCTGCCATTTAGGAGTTGAATCAGCTTTGTCTTTTTTGTCTTTGTCTTTGTTTTTTTTTGTTTTTTTGTTTTTTTTGCAACCCCAGCCACACCTCCTCTGGCTTACATCTGATTGAAAGTTAAACTATTTATTTCCATGTAACTTTAAAGTTTTTATCTCATGCTCTGTAAAATAAATTTTAATTACATTCAGGAGGCTATTGCAAGGTTTAGGCAATTAACAGAGCAGGGGATATGAAATTCAAAATGAAACCATATTTTCAATACAGGAAGTATAAACATTAGATGACTCTTTACAGGAAAGGTTTAGGAAGGCTGTGCAAGTCAAATGCAGGGTAGGTGTGGCTATGGCTGCATTAACAAAGTGATTTAACTTGTAAATGGCAGAGAATTGAGCAATGAGACTGCAAGGGCATGATCTATACACCAAAACTGCTTCATTAAGCTAAAGTTGTTTTGGTGACTACAGTGTTCCTTTTAAAGCTTCAGAAACGGTTCAATCCTCTTTCTATTCAGAGAAGTCCATAGCTTTGTTTGAGTGATAATGCAAGTCCAGACTTGCTGTGATTGACCTGTCAAATCCCATGGATAGACCAGTCCAGTGAGCCCATTTTTTTTATCTGTGAAGTTGTGTTTTTATGTATGCTGAGGGTGCGTAGATGGAATGCCTATCTCTGCTTTAACGCAATTTTAATTATTACATTAAAGTAAATGTGTAAACCCTTTTAGCAATTCAACATTACTGTTACATCTTCATTCATATGACATGCATATTTGTGGGACATGATGAATATAACACATGCAACTCTATTTCCCACCCTTTATACTCTAGGTGCTAATTTGAAGGGTGTTGATATGGAAGGCAGCCAGATGACTGGGATAAACCTTCGGGTGGCAACCCTGAAAAATGCCAAACTGAAGAATTGCAATCTGCGTGGCGCCACATTGGCAGGAACTGACCTGGAGGTGAGAGAACAAGCTTGGAGATAAGGTGGTGGTTATAGAATGAAGGAAATTCAGTCAAAGGTAAATCTGGTCACTGAATGAGAAAGCTGACCTTTTTGTTTAGAGGGTACATTTTATGGCAAAGAGAAGAAACAAACTAATGGTTTTTGTAAGTGGGAGAGGACTAGGGAATCAACTTTTAGATGAGTGTGTGGAGACAGAACAGATTGGAAGTCGTTGACTTGTACATGAGGTGGAAAGGAGAAGAAACTGATATTGAAATGTAATAATGAAAGTAATCGGGCCTTGCAAAGTTATAGTACGGGCTGAATTAAAGAGTGTATATCTGAAATAATCAGACCTTCATTAGTGTTTGTTTGTTCCTTTATAACCCACGTTCTGTTTGTTTTATATTTCTACTCCAGAACTGTGACCTTTCTGGGTGTGATCTTCAGGAAGCCAACCTCCGCGGTTCCAATGTCAAAGGTGCCATATTTGAAGAGATGCTGACCCCACTGCACATGTCTCAGAGTGTTCGATAGACACAATGCTTGTTGGTTAATCACACAAGCCCCTGACATCAGATAATGTGAGAGGAGGAAACTGATATATTTATATATTTTTAGTTAACCAGATCAGTAATCGTTCCAAGCTTTCACTGATTTACTGCAAAAAGAAACTCCTCCATTGCATTATTCTGCACAGCAGATGGGTGCCTTCTAGTGTACACAAATGGGTGAAAGTTACTTGTGTTCACATGTCTCCTGGTGCTACCACTGTATCCACAGCACAGCCTGTTTGGGTCTGAGTGTCCTACATGTGTCACGTGATGGTGTAAATAACTGCGTTGGTATTTTATATGCAAATTGGTGTACTAGGTACACGTTCGTCGACCTGCATAAAGCACAGGAGTATTATGTGGTTACAATGGTTTAAACTGGCTGGCTACAGACTGTTCTTCGTTAAAATTGACAGTGCCGTTTCATCACGGGCAGACAAGATTTTTAAAAGAATCTTCTCTTAACTTCTCTGGCATTCTGTATCCGAATGTCACCTGACATCCGAGTGATTAGGGGTAGATTTTGTCCACACCTTAGTAGTAAATGAGCTTGAGCATTTTTCAAGCTTCGTACATGTATTGGAGGATTATAATGATGTGGTGATGGGAATACACACTCGAGTACAAATACCATGGGGCAGAGATGAGCTATCACTGGCTGTGGATAGTGACTCCCACTGCTCTCAGCCTACAACATCAGCAGTGTTAATGGATGCTAATCCCTGCCGTATGCTCACAACAGCACAAATTGTTTCACGCATGTTTTTAAACATATTGATTAAAAAAGCCATTTTATATAAATGCACTCTGTAACAATGCATTCTGAGTGCACTCACTCACACTGATCTGCTTGCTTTTACCAGTGGTTATATAATTGGGTTCGATCTATATCCTGATGGCTTTCAAAAGTTAAAATCTATTTATCTTGCATTATTCATATTTGCCAGCAATATACCTGGCACAGTGTATAAGTGATGACAAATTGTGTTCTGTAAAGGGCACACATACATTTTTAGGATGACAGGTGCCTTTTTAAGTAGCATCAGCTGATCCTGTGTAATAAAGAGAAGATTCCAAAGCTAAACTGATCTTCTCTTACCAGGACACCCAAGCTCTGTATAACGAGATGTGATACCAGTCTCTAGTGTTGCCTCCTGCATTGCTGGTGGCAGTTGCTCCATGTCATCGGCAGCAAGGAGGTTTGAGTGCCTTATTGCACTGTCACAGCTGCTCCTGAAGGAAGCTTTCAGTTATGCAAAATGACAGTACAAAGTATTGAACTGTTATCCCTCTTAACCCTATACACAATAAATATTTTTTGTAAGTTAATGGCATGTTTTGCTTTTGTGTGTTTTAAGGTATTTTTTATTGTAACATTCCTGCTTAATGTTATTTATGTAAGAATGTATATGTTAAAGTATACCTTTCATCTGCAGATGTGTAAAAGGCAAGGTTAACCCCTTAAGGACCAAACTTCTGGAATAAAAGGGAATCATGACATGTCAGACATGTCATGTGTCCTTAAGGGGTTAAAGGACCACTCTAGGCACCCAGACCACTTCAGCTTAATGAAGTGGTCTGGGTGCCTGGTCCAGCTAGGGTTAACCCATTTTTGTCTCTGAAACTGCTATGTTTATGAATGGGTTAAGCCTTCCCCCATTCCCTCTAGCGGCTGTCTCATTGACAGCCGCTAGAGGCGCTTGCGTGCTTCTCACTGTGATTTTCAAAGTGAGAGCACGCCAGCGTCCATAGGAAAGCATTGATTGGGGGTATTTTTCTTTTCATTTTTAGCATGAGGGGGAAAAAAAAAACAAACCAAACAAACATGTAATAAAGTATGATCAAGGGTCTCGAGTCCCAGTGTTACTTCCATACATGTTTACACAGCCTACTAAATTATGTCCATCTGCCCTCTGTAGCTAATAGCCACCACATGTCCCAAATTGAGTAGCACTTGGTCTTTTGGCCAGATATATAACACAAACAGTTAATGTGTGGCTTTTAACAAGAAAAATACACAATCTCTAATTCATTAAATTGCTCTTTCAATTATCTGGATTAAGCAGCAGGGGTTTGGAATACAATTTAACACTGACACCCCCACCTGTATGTACAGGTGTATAAATACATTGTAGTCACTGAATAGTTTGCCATTTCAGAAGATCTTGTGCTAAATTACCATCCACTGCCAACCCAAGCCAGGTAATTCATCAAAATATTACTTTTGATATTTATTCTGTCTGTCTTTGTTTGAAAAATAAATATATTATGTATCTCTTTTTATTTTTCTCCATCCCATTGTACAGTGGTACAGAAATGTTGGCACTTTCTAAATATATATATATATTTTTTATATATATATATATTAAAAAAAAAAAATATATACCCTTTTATTGACTGTGTTGATGACAACATCCAGTAAACCTTTCACCATCGTCTGGATTGATGAAGACACCCATAGTGTTGAAACGTTAAATAGAGACCCTTGCACTCTCTTGAGGATTCTTTAAATAGTATATGTTAACAGGTTTCATTCCTATTTCACAATAGGCACTGCTCTTGTACTACCTAGAGCAGCTAAATTTTAGATGCACTTAATGCCATCCATATTCATACCATGAAAAATGTATAACCAGTTAGAGGATATCAGCCATGTAATTGAATAAACCTTAAGGGAATTTTAAAAATGTATTTTTTTTTATATTTTTTTAAATTAAAAACAATTAAACTCCGTGTTTTATTACAGCACTAAGACAGACTCCTCACTGCAACAAATCATCCCTAGCTGTACTTGTCAAGATTGATTATTTTTGCCTAATCAAATCTTTATTCTAGAGATACATTCTGGACCTACAGCACGTTTGGCAAATGCAATCCAGTGTTCCCCATATCGTAGTATCAGAAGCACGTCCAGCTTCCACATACTCTGGTTGGTGAAGCTGTACATAAAATAGGTTCAATTACTATTTGAGGCCTGAGCCTCAACACTTTAAAACTGTTTTCGAGGTAGCATTTAGGCCTCAATCACTTTTACATTCGTGTGGTGTCGGAGTACACATTTTTGAGACTTCGTTTTCTAATTCTGCTATTTTAGTCTAAAAATTTATATCAAACACCGGCCGATTCACAACATTGTGAGCATCAATTTAATATTTTTGAATAAACTTTTCAGATTTATTTTATTTCCATTTCCCAAAATCCTGTAACAAGTTAATATTAACTTTTTTTATTTTCTTCAAAATGTTAAACAATTTAAAAGTTTATCTAAAAATATTAATTTGAGGCATTACTGGAAGATTGTACATAAAACCATATATGGGTTCTCAGGTGTTACCTAATGCAGGTCCAAATAGACATCCCTTTCCTGTTTACACCTCGCTGAGTGCTTTTGCAAGTACTTAATTTGGGTTTTAAAGGGAAAAATAAAAAAAGTGTACAAATAGATTGCATTTGCCAAATGTTAATAATAAATGGGTTTTGTGTCTCATTTTAAATTAAAATGAGTAGTAATTGCAGTACCATAAAACAAACACTAGTGCAGTACTAAAATCCTGAAGGCGAGCATCAGAGGTGGGAGTATGGACAGAAGATAGAGGTAAGTCTTCAGCAGATCGTGAGGGCCTAGATGGGACATACTTGTGTATAAGGGATGATAGATAGTTGGGAGCAGCATTATGTAGAGATTTGAAAGCAAGAACCAGAGTTTTAAATTGAGCTCTATATCTTATAGGAAGCCAATGTAGGGACTGACAGAAGGGTGAGGCGTGGGAAGTGCGGGCGAACAGGAAGATGAGCCTCGCCCCCGCATTCATTATGGACTGTAATGGTGCAAGTTGGGAGCACGTAAGTCCACTGAGAAGTGGATTACAGTAGTCAAGGTGAGAAAGGAAAGTGGAATGGACCAGCACCTTAGTCGCATCTGGCGTTAAGTAGGGGCGGATGAGCGCAATGTTTTTGAGATGGAAATGACAGGATTTGGCGATAGACTGAACGTGGAGCTTGAAGGAGAGATCGGAGTCAAAGCGAACACCTAGGCAGCGAGCATGCGTGGTGGAGCTGATGGTAGCACCGTTGACTTGGAGGGAGACAGACACAGGAGTAACAACACTTGATGGAGGAAAGACAAGAATTTCAGTTTTGGTCAAGTTTAGATTAAGGAAGTGGGCAGCCATCCAATTAGAAACAGCAGAGAGGCAGTCAGAGTCACTAGTCAAGAGGGACAGGGAGAGATGAGGAGAGGACAGGTAGATTTGCATGTCATCTGCATAGAAATGATATTGGAAACCAAAGATTAGATAACCTGTTTTAATTTGGAAAATTAGCACATCATCCATGCTTCAATTATAAGTTAATGTATAACAATAATTATGAAAAAAATCTTTAATACAAAAAGAGTGCAATGATATACTAAGCTATTAGTCGATGTAGCAGCTGGTTGTGCTAGGTGGAAGGTGAATATATATTTTGTAAGTGTATCTACATAACATCCAGTGCTAGATCCATGTAGGGGGAGTCAGGGTCATTTATGTCTAGACGGCAGCAGGGGCTGAATGAATGACCACCCATCCACACAAGCTTGTAGCGATAATATACTTCTCAGGTTTCAAAATGAGGTACTCTGGTATATCAGCACTTCTTTTTTGGGGCACATTCCCTATTTTGGTTGCAAGTTCCTCTATCCATCTTCTCTATCCTAACATCTGTTTTTTTTAGGAGCTCCATATTGTTGGTGTGTCTGAGTGGACAGAGCTCTATAGCAACAATGCTCCAAGAAATGTCTTTAAAGGAGCACTATAGGGTCAGGAACACAAACATGTATTCTTGACCCTATAATGTTAAAACCACTATCTAGCCCCTTTGCCTCCCTAAAGACAGTAAAATCTTACTTGCATTCAAGTCTGAAGCTGCTGCCTCTGCCTGTGAAATTCCTCTGATCTCATCAGAAGTGGTGGTCTGATCCAATCACAATGCTTCCTCATAGGATTGGCTGAGACTGACAATGAGGCAGATCAGGGGCAGAGCCAGTACAATTCAAACACATAGCGCTGACCAATCAGCATCTCCTCATAAAGATGAGTTGAATCAATGAATCTCTATGAGGAAAGTTCAGTGTCTGCATGCAGAGGGAGGAGACACTGAAAGTTTTGATGCATTTTAGGCAGCCATGACCCAGAAAGGATCTCTAACAGCCATCTGAGGAGTGGCCAATGAAGTTATCACTAGGCTATAATGTAAACACTGCATTTTCCCTGTGTTTACAGCAAAAAGCCTGAATGTAATGATTCTACTCACCAGAACAAATTCAATATGCTTTAGTTGTTCTGGTTACTATAGTGTCCCTTTAAATCTCAATACACATGATTAGTAATCAGTCTGTGTAAATATGATACATTGTTACGGATATAAATACAATTTTATTTGCATTACTTATTAGTAAGTCATCAAACCTTTGTCAGAACAGCCCAGCTTGCCCTATTTTCTATAGTTAAAATCTGACAAACCCCAGCAGCGTCTCTCCTGAATTCAGGCTCTGGATCCACCCCTTATATCATCTACATCAGGGGTAGTAAACCTTTTTCTATCTAACGCCCACTAATGCATCTTTCTTGATGGAAATATTTATTTACTGCCCACCAGTTTTCGCGCAAGTGCAGAATATTTTTTAGAAAGTAAGGTGTTTGAAAAAAAAAATAAATGTAAAAAATCCTTGAGGCTGATGCTGCGAGTCTAAATATTTGATATCTGGTTCGATTTTCGTAAGGAACAAACAAAGGTCTCCTTCTTTTGGTGATATTCAGACGGTTTCTCTGTTTGCTCATAATATGATAAACAGCACTAAAGCCTGATTCTACAAGATATGTAGATCAAGATCAATAAATTGAATATGATTTTCCACATATTTGGCTATAACGCAGGCAGTTTTTTTTATTTTGCCAGAGTTTTTGGTATCCACCACTGCCGAAATTACATTTATTCTCTTCGTCATATTTAAGTTTTAATAGTTCTTCTTGGCAAGTTATATCAAACTCAGCAACATTTGCTGTAAAAGGATTTATCATCCAGTCACGCACCTTGAAGTTCAAAATATCTTGAAATTGTTTTTCCATATCCAATTTTTTTTATATAATTCTTTATTTTTGTAGTGCTTTGCAGGTTTTACAGATTAACAGAGACATTGCAATTGGCATCAGAAAAGATTATCTAGCAGCGTACCTTACATGTCAGATTCACAGCACTTTTTATTTTTTTTTAAATTACAGTATAACATCAGAATATTCATGTTTGTAAAGCGTATGGTCATGTTAGGGAAGAGTATTCAGAGGAGTGACGAAGAGGGAAAACATGACCCGTATAATCATGAGCAAGACTGTATAAGTAGTACTGATTAGTGAGGTGGCTAAACATACTTCTTGTCTGACTAGGCATAAAATATGTAGTTGCATGTTGTGCTAGGCTTTAACTAGAGATTTAGTGGTTTGAAGACAAAGATAGTAAAACAAAGGAAGCGTCAACATTTAAGATTGCCCTGTAGCTTTTCCACCCCAATTGGACCACATGCCAGTAAGGCGGTGATCCGTCGTTGCATATTTAGAGACCCTTCTGTAGACATTAAAGATTTTAAATTTTTGGAGAGGGACAAAAGGTCTGGAGAGTGCTATGCTAATTCTAGTTCCGTTGGGTGTCAGTGTAGAATGATGGTAGTCCTTTTGTGGTTGACCTGTGATTCAGTCGGGTGCCTGTCGTAGGCAGGAGAAAAATCCCTGTAGCTGTGCCATTTGTTGGGTGCAGTATGTCGGCTGTATGTTGTCAATCCTTATGTTTCTGCCCCCATGTGGTGATATGGGCGTTATGGCAGGTGAGGCCAGGATGCTGTGGCGGTGTCCCACTCTGTAATTTGTGGCTTTGGGCTGGCTCGGATTAGTTGCTGTTCCTCCATAGCTTGGTTTGTGGGGTTACAGCTTGTGCTCGCTTGTTCCCGCTCAGCCCGCATCGGCAATCCGTCCATGTGGAGTCAGGAGAGGTGGGTGCGCCAGTCAGCCCTCGATCATGGGTGACATGGCATGTGGTCTCCGCCATTTTGGAAGCGGCCTCTGTGCTCCGTGTCTGCCATGCTGTTGCTTTGGGTGCCAGTGTTGTTGCACTCCGATGGGCCATGGGGTGGGGACCGGGATCATGTCTGCCTAGCCTCGAGCTTCTGCCTTGCCGCAGGTGGGCAGGCTAGCTGGGCAGCGGCCGTCCACCCCACTCACCGCCCGAGCGGTCCCCATTGTGGATGACGGCGATCGCCCCTCCGAGGGACTAAAACTTTCCTCTGGACCAGGGTGGCTTCTCGCACTGGGTCACAGCTGCCAGTCGTCGAGTGAGTATGAAATTAGTTTTTAAATGCCAAAACTGGAGAGTATTGCTGGAGCTACTCCATTCTGCGACCATTCAGCATGGCGGTCCGGCCCCGACCCCCCTTTCCATATCCAATTTGAGTTTGTTGAGGTGGCTACTGAACCTTTCAATATCCCCCGGAGTTACATAATTGTTTATAGAGAACAATTCAGGAAACTGATTAAATTCTCTCTTGAAAATATTATGACGGAGAAGATCAAGCTTTTAGATAAATAATGACACAATATTTTTGCAACTTATAAGAGTAATATTGGCTCCTTGAAGCTACAAATTATTTTCATTAAATGTCTTGAAAATGTCTGCCAAATAAAAGTCTTCATTCTTTACAGTTTTTAACTGTTCATAGAGACCAGCCTCATTATCACTTTCAAAAAACTGTATGACACTATCAAATAAAGCAACAAAACGAGACAAGCATGTACCCTTTGAGAGCCATCGAAATTCTGTGTGTAAAAGTAATCTAAGAAACTGCTCGTTATTGTCCTGGCACAGCTGTCGAAACATTCTATCACATTTGGCATTAGATTTGATCTTATTTACAGCTTTAATTATTATACTTAATGATGAATAGAAACTTGTACTTAACCCCTTAAGGACACAACTTCTGGAATAAAAGGGAATCATGACAGAATATTCCCATCATGTGTCCTTAAAGGGTTAAATGTTTTCATACAATATGTTGTCTGAATACACAAAACGTTTGGCACTTCTTCCTTCAAGTAAGCAACAAACCCACTATAGCGGCCTACCATTGATGGTGAGCCATCAGTAGCACATGCAACAATATTGTGCAATGGTATATTATTTTTTGCAAAGTATGATTTCACAGCATTAAATATTGATAATCCTTTTGTATCTGTAATCAGATTGACAGTGAATAGCATTTCTTCTTGAAATGTATTGTTTTCATCAAGTACCATACATATGTCATCAGTAGAGCATTATTATCTGCAATGACAGACTCGTCCAATTGTATGGAAAATGAAGAATTTGTAGCAAGATGTTCTCGCAATCGACTTGGCTTCATTGCTTCATTAGATAATGTCTTGTGGCAGTAAACACATTGGAAGCTGTTTATTTGTAACAGATTCAATGAAACCCATCGTCAGATACTCTGGTAAATAGCCACAAGCATATTGCTTTTTTTTCAGACATGGGTTCTAAATTTGTTTCACAATTTAACAACTACTTTTACTCTTACGTTTTGATCTGCACTCCACACAGTGCTCCCCCCCCCTCTTTTCCCTTTTATTACAAACACCAAAAACAACGCTGTATTAGTTGCCAATTTTTATTATGTGTCACCATAAAAAAGAAATTACCCGCTTTTTTTCTACTTTTCCTTTTCATTCTCTCCTTCTTTTACTTATTTTCCTTCTTTCTTTTATTTTATAAGATAACAAAACTTAACTTATGAGCCACTCTAAACACTACTTACTCTCCTCCTTTATTTTATCCCATTTTTTCTATTTTTCTTCCCTTTTTTAAAAACTTTTTTTGATCTTTTCCTTTACATTCCTTATGGCAATGTACAAAAGTAAGGCTGAGCTAGTTACCCCACTTATTATTATTAGCCAACAACAATTCTCTCCTTGTCCTGCCTATAACTTTTCTTTCTCTTATTTTACAACTGCTCTGCTCCACTTCTGCCTGTCCCTGCTATCAGCTCCCACTCCCCCCTTCCTCTTCCCATGTGTTACACGTTTGCGCGCGCATGCACGCGTCCGTACTTTCATGTGTGCACTGGCGCCCGCCCACACTCTCAAAAGGAGGATTTAGCCGCCGAAATCCCTACCGCCCACCTGGAGTCCTGAAACGCCCACTAGTGGGCGGTAGGGACCAGGTTGACGACCTATGATCTACATAGATTTATAATGTAATGTATATATTCACCTATGAAAACTTTTTCTTCAATTTAAAAATGATAACTTTGCAAAATCTTCTGACAGTCCCTAATATTATGTGGAGAGAGGTCTCTCTGACCACAGATCGTAAATTGTGTCCAGTGTTCAGGAGCTAAATCTTCAATCTCACCACAAGTTCACACAGCCAGACACTCACTCTTCTAGAATCGAGGATCTAGTATATCAACCCAATGGAGGTATGAGCTTCCTACAGGGGTATTCACTGAAGTGAGAATTCAAAGTAAAGATTAAACTAAAGGCAAATATAGAACAATTCTTCAAATAAGGTGGGATCCAACAGGGAGCACCAATGCAAGCTCTGAATTCAAGACAATTCTCAGTTTAGTGAATAACACTGATAGAGTCCATCTAGAGTTAAATTAAGCAGGATGGAATTAATGGGCTTTTCTAAACACAGCTCCAAGCATGCTGCCCACTGCTAGCAGGAAATGGAACATAAAAATAAACACTATAAATTCAATTCAACACACTACTTGCTTCAATGTCATTTTATCAGAACTTTTTCAAAATAACAATACAAATCAACAAAATGTTTTAAAACTGGTTGCTAAAGGAACGGAATGGCATCTATTTTATACTATTTGTGTATATAAAGTGTGTCTATGTAAAAGGGTTTCTATATTTGGGATGGGGTTGCACAAATAATGTCACAATTCATCTGGTATCCAACCCTTCCCAGATCCAAGATGTAGGTACTGGAAGTGCTTTGTTGGATTGGGAATATGGGTTCTAAAAGCAGAAATATTAATTGTATTTAGTAACCAAAAGTAAAATCAAGAGCTAGATGGGAGGTTTATATGTTGCCACATTCTCTACTTTCAGAATGAGACACTCTGGGACATCTGCACTTCTCCTCCTGGTCTTTCTGTGTTTTGATCATGTTAGCCATGCCCAACACTGGTCCTATGGTCTGCGTCCAGGAGGTAAAAGGGTCCCTGAAACTATCCAGGACTCATACTCAGAGGTAAGTACACTAGGGTGTATAGTGAAGTAGTACTCTGTAGATGTGATTGTAGTTTAAAGAACAATTATCTTTTTTGGTGTTTAGGCTATTTTGTATTTTGAAAATTGGGGAATAACAATGCTCATTATAGCATGCATTCATGTAAGGATGCAGATTGTACAATGACTAGACAATTTCTTTGTATGTCCATTTTTTTTCTACCCACCACTATCAACAGAACCCACTTTATTTAATTCTGTTCTAAAGCAATAAGGACACATTGGAGTTGCAACAGTGTGGCATAATTCTAAAATTAGACCAATTACCAAGGAAACCAATAACATATTTTTTGCTTATAGCTTCACTTTGAGAACTTTGCCCCAGAATTGATCTGCATGCATACGGCAACAGTGTACGGCACCATTAATACATAATAAACAGGAGTCAAAGGAAAATAAATACTGAAAAAAATAATTTAATATGCATGTTTAAAGGGACACTATAGTCACCAGAACCCACTACAGCTTAGTGTAATGGTTCAGGCACAGAGAGCCTGTTCAACAGTGTTTACATTGCTAAGTCCACCTTCTAGTGGCATTCACTCAGACAGCCACTAGAGAGACTTTATGGACAAAGTCTTGTGCAATCTTTGCCACCCTGACATTCAGCATTTTCACGCTCTGCATGGAGATGCAATGACACAATGCATCACTATGAGGAGATGCCGATTGGTGCAGCACAGGGACTTGCTGCATATGTGCACTTGCCTCCCATTGCTTTCCTATGGGTAAACACTGCATCGACTTAGATTATTACAATTAATGATCTCAGCCAGGGAGGCAGGGCAGCAGCATAGAGACCAGAGAGGTAAGGTCTAAAAAAAGTTTTACAATTATTATTGCACACGGGGGGAGTTCTAAATAGCAGAACACCATAATGTTACATGTCTGTATTCCTAATGCTGTAATGTTTCTTTAATACAGTTAAAAACAAGCTGATCCAAAAAACAAATACAAAATCTTTAGGATAGTATTATACTAGTAGTAAAAAACAAAACACAGACTAAAATTGCCACCATTATTATTGCCATATAACTTGTACACAGGGCCATATTAAAAGCCTATTGGGCCTGGTGCTGACAATTACGATGGGTTAAATTATAAAATCATATTGACAGAAACCACAAAAACAGTCATACCTCCCATACCTCCTGGAGGTTGTGCTGGATGGTAACTCATAGGATATAGCCATCAGATAACACATACCCTATGCTCATGTCTCAGTTTCATCTTTCAAGTAAAATCCATACCCCCTAACAGCAGTGTCCAGAGTAGCAGGAAAAAAGGGTGGGCCACTGACACGAATCATGTAACCACAACCGCTCAAAAATCTGCCTGAGGAATTAGAAGGCCAGCTTGCTGTGAGTGCAGGTCAGGCTGCCTGCCAATCATGCAGGATTGCAAACTAATGGCATACTATGCAGACCGCACCCTGAGCTTGGCTTTTATGCGTCTAATGAAGTGCTCGCTCCATGCTTGCTAAGGACTGTCCCATAGCACTCGCTGGTCCACTCTTCTCCTTACCTTCTTACTAGCAGGCAGAAGCTCCTGGTATACAGTCTGGGACAGAGAAAAGGTGGATGTAGTGAGTGTAGAAGGAAGGGAACGTGCCACAGAGTTACAGAGACTGAAGCAGTAAGAGCATTTGCATGGTGCAAAGTCAGCTTTACATTAATTCATTTCATGGTCAGCTAGTCCACACCAGTTTTCTTTCCCTAGATCCACATGTGAAGTGTAGTAAAAATATTTTTGTAGCAATGGGCCTATTCCATGGGTATGGGCCTCAGCCCCTATGTTATCCCAGCCCTGCTTGTACAGTATCTTGTAAAAAAATACTTTGGTGAATTGGAATAATATTGTTTTGAATAAGCTTATGGGAGTTTCTACCTTTCTAACAGGGCTAGTGCATCCTATAGGCGACTTAGGCAGTCACCTAGGGTGCACAGGCCCGGGGGGCGTCAGATTTCAGTGACCGGAAGGAGGGAAGCGCACTAAGGGGACTGGAGAGGACCTCTAGAGGGGTAGAGGGAGGACCACTAAAGAGTTGGGGGAGAGTGAGAGGACCACTAAGGGGGAAGAGGGGTGGAGTGAGAGGACCACCAAGGGGGACTGGAGAGCACTAAACAGGGGGCCAAGGGAGAGCAATAAAGGGACAGGAGGGAAGGGGAGATCACTAATTGGCAGGAGGGTAGTGCAATATAATTTTTTTTTTTTAAAGTTGTTCCCCTTAGTCCCTATCCTACCCCACAAACCCTCTCTTTTACACTACATATACACAAAATAACACACACAGAAACAAACAATGCATCCCTTACACGCGTACGCACACACACTGCTTCTCTTACACACGCAGAAACAAAATGGAATCTCTTACACACACACACCCCCAGAAACATACAATGCATTCCTTACACACAAACATACATTATATCCCTTACACAAATTGGTATCCCTATACACTACATTCCAAGAACACACACACACACTACATCCTCTACATAACACATCCCCATCACACATACACTCCACTCCCTCCAGACCATGAGCTGTGTAAAGGGGCCCCAAAAAAATGGAGCTGCTTCCTGTTTGTTAATTGTTGTGAGCACTGTTACAAAAAGGCTCCAGAGAGCCTCTTCTACACCAGACCCGTGGAGGCAGACTGCAGCCTGAGGCCATCATCATCCTCTTGTCCTCATCTGGTGGTAAGTAGGCAATCCAATATATTATTAGTGGCACTAATCTCTAATTTACCTCACATTAAAGGGCCACTATAGTCACCAGAAGCACTACAGCATAATGTCGTGGTTCTGGTGTCTATAGCCTGTGCCTGCAGTCTTTTTAATGTAGACACACATTGCTTTTTCTTATAAAAGACACTTTTTGCAGAACTGGCATTGGCCCATATGGCAGAGCATATGGGTGGGGCATTGTGATTTCACATGGTGGGCAGGACATATGGGGGGGAGCAACAAATTTTTGTTTGTCTAAGCCGGCAAAAATCCTTGCACCGGCCCTGCTTTCTAAAGTATAAAACATCCTCCCAGAATACTGCCAACTCATAAAGAATCACCGGAATAATATTAAATACTGCAATAAATAAATTGCCTATCAAGTTTTGCATGGAGCAATCTAGGTCTCCTTTTTTACCTTTCTTATAGCTATGTAGCCTTTCCACGGAACTGTAGGTTTTCATTTTGCCTTCAACTACTGTCTTTGCTATTGTACATCATTATGGAACATGTTGGTGTTTAAAAGTGCAATCCTATTAGAGACAGCCAATGTAGTGTTGTGGATGGCAGTTCCTGGACATTGTGGAAGTAGTACTAACATGTTTATAATTTCAGACTCCAAATGAGGTGGCCGTGTTCACAGAACCACAACGCCTAGAGTGCTCAATTCCCCAGAGCAGGATCAGTGTCCTAAAAGATGCTTTGGTAAATAACACAACCTACTGTCTAGGGTTTCATGTATTGAGTGAAACCCAATTACTATGTAAAACCAGGATATATTTCAGCTGATTATTTTACCTTTTCCCCCCCCCCCCATCAGAATTTCATACATTAGCCTAACCAGCCACAATAATTCCCAAATTAGATATCATGACAAGCAAAAGTATTAAAAGTGTGCAAGCATAAGCAGGACAGTCAAGCCATAGAAGCAATCCCCTACTACAATCTATTGATTAGATCAATCTTTGGCACGTCAGATGTAGAGATGTCGCGAACTTCCCGCGAACGGCTCGCCACGAACCGTTCGCGGTGAGCTCCGGTCAGCTGACACATCCCGGCCAATCTCCAGCAGACCCTCCCTCCCAGATCCTCCCACCTCCTGGACAGCATCCATGTTGAAGGCAGCTTCAACATGGATGCTGTCCAGGAAGTGGGAGGGTCTGGGAGGGAGGGTCTGCTGGAGATTGGCCGGGATGTGTCAGCTGACCAGAGCTCGCCGCAAACTGCGGCGAGCCGTTCACGGGAAGTTCGCGAAATCACTAGTCAGATGTTGTGGACTACATCTCCCATGATTCCCTTGCAGTCATAATACTGGTAAAGCATCAGGGGAGATATAGTCCACAACATCTGGAGCGCTGAAGGATGCCTACCTCTGGATTAGATCTATGAACAAATGTAATGCATAAGATTACAGACTTCTGTACTATCAGCAGACATAAGTTAAGGAGGGTGGATGGGTTTAAATTCTTAGGATTGACCATCACTGATTTTATTATATTACAGCTGAGTTGGCTGGATGGAGAGAATGAAAGAAAGAAAATCTAAGAAGGATGACAAATGAAGAATTCTGTGTGTGTAGCCAAGATAAAAATATAAATAAATGCCAAGACAATGCTGCAAGCCACGTCTTCTTGTGATCTTTCTCCTCAGTTAACACGTACACATGGAAGGATCTTCTAATATATTTAAAGCACTAATGTATTATGAAGTGCTAAATGAAAGGAAGAGAAAGTTGTAGCAACATTTAAAGTGGCTCCTTTTCAAGAACACAGTTGGACAATTGAGCAAATGTCTATGGTACATACGGTGCAATATAAACCGTGGATGCTCCACACGAATGATCCACATAGAGGTTAGGATTCTGTATCTGCATAGAGCTCTCAGGTGAAAATGATGAGTTCTCTATGATGTGTTAAGTTTGGTAGAGGGTTAATGTATTTACATGGATGAGCAATGCAGACAACCAGCACAGGAAACTACAGATGTCACAGCAGGGCTCCACTGGTCAGAAGATTTGGAGGAGGTCTAATGGGTTAAATGGATATAATTCTTAACAAATGACACAGTGGGGACTGTTGCAGTAAAAAAAGGATATGCTGGTCCTAAGGTTCTCCACTGGTACCAGCTCAGATTATATTCTATACAGACTACAACATTTTGGATATCTGTGTTAAATCTCTGACAATGTTTTAGGAATTTTATCCAGCACTCAATGAAGCTTGTTGTATGTGGAAACATACATTTACGGTATACTACATAATAGAGTATATAGAGAGAAAAAAAATAAGTTATCAGGCCCTGCTCCATTTGGACTAAACTATTACTTGTGTGGACTATAAAAATGCCACAGTACCACTTTAAAGGGACATTTAACTAACTGCCCATAAGCAAACAGGAAGTAACATGACCCGTTGTCTTATTGACAGCCAGGGGGGTGTAACAATGATAATTTATAAATGTGCCAATTTCTGTTGAAATTTGCACTTTTTGCAAAAATGAAAAAAAGAGAACACTCTGCACAAACAAAGCATTTCAGTAAGCTAAAGTGCATTAGAGGTCTGGAGTGACCCTTTACGTTGTGTATTATTTTATCAGTGGTAATTTCCCATTTCTGTACACTAAGGGGCAGCAGAGTACACAACACAGTAGATCATCTAATGTGTAAAAATCAACATTTATTTTTCACTTCCATTTTTACAAAACTTTACAATCATAGTGCAGTCTCTCAAAGCAGAATTGCTTAATACACACAGTTTCTCTATTCAAAAATATATATAATTTGTTTTTAAATAACTGTACCAATAAAACTGACAAGGAGTGCCTCTGTGTGTTATATATATATATATGACATACATACATATTAATTCACACATATGCTTACATTAAAAACACAATAATTGCCTGTAAAGAAACTTGGTCACAAGGCAGAATGTTGAAGGATCACTTTGGTCTCTTTAGCAGTGAAAGGCAGCTTCAGACAGTCACGCTGCTTTGCCAACAATTCCCATCATGCTTAACTGGCAAATGGAGTTTACTGCAACCAGGAGTACAATGATTGGTCTATTAGCGTTTATTAAATAACAATAATAATAAGTTGGTGATATTCTCTGTCCTATAGAAACCACAGATACCCTAAAACCACAGTTGTACTTTAATATCTGCATAAAGATTAAGTTAATAGTAGCTATAACCTCTCTTTTGCCTGTATTTGTACCACTGATGAATATAAATTTTTTTGTCACAACATACATTAGGTTAATTTAAAGACTACATGAGGCAGGCAGTTACGAGTTCAATGCAACCAAATGCCTTACACAGCATATAATTATAATGTCAAACTATACCTTATATGTACATTACAGCGCATATTTACATTTTGCTAAATAAATGGCTCCTCTTTCCAAAGTAAAGTTGCCAAGCCTAAGGTTTCCTCAAATGTTTCATGCCTAGGCATTCCTTTCCAGCAGCCATCTTTAAAGCATTTTAACTGTGCAATCACTGAACGGTGGCAAAAAGAAGAACGTGAGCATCCTTCAACAAGACCAACATGGTAGCATGGTTTGTAGTGGTCATAGATAGCTGTATATGAGCAGGAAGTGCTAACTTAGATAATTTCACAGAATTCCCAGATGCTCAGCAACGATACAAAGTTGTAGTTTAAGGTATTATCACTCTAAAGCCATTTAATTTTAGTTTCAGGTAAAGTGAATGCAATCTGTACAGGAATTCACTATAACCTATGCATAGATGTAATTCTTAAATATAGTTACATTGTATATCTTCTCTTGAGGAATATTAGGTATTTTTCTTTTTGCTGCCATGGGACAAAACTAATGCTTTCTTGGCTCCTTGGAACTGAAGCCAAAATCAATATAAATAATTCTAGGAAAATGGTTAATTACCCCGCCCCCAAAAGAGGGTATTTAAAAAGGCCTATTCAAACAGGACCTTCCTTCTAATGAAGGCATATAAAACTTTAGTCCCACCAATCTACTGCTGGGCTACAATTCCTGATGAGATAAAATTTAGGAATGTATCTTAAACAAAATGCCAAGAAAAGCAGCCTCCATAATTGGTATGGCAACAAGGCCAATCACGATAACTGTCTCTAAGGCACCTATGTGAACACAACGTGAGGTAATGGGACGTCTTGGTCCTGACATAGTCCTGGCATTTACGAATGGAGTTAGCAGGACATGTATCAGGCTCAAAAGCTGGTAAGCACATAGAACAATCTAAAACAAAACGTAAAGTTAAGAAATGAGGTAAGGAACATGGCTTAAACCAATATACAGATCATTAAAAGGTATTTACTGAGGGTCTTACGTCATACGCCCCACAACTCTAACTTTTTAAAAGCACCTGCAGTAAAGTCTCAATTCTATTACTCCAGGAAGGCATCATTTATTTTTGAACCAAACACAAAATCTCGAATGCCAATAGTTGGCCTTCACTATACCATGTTTCTCATTACACTGAGCTAGTCATGATCTTCACAAGAAACAGGATCATAATAATTGTGCCAAAGGTTTTACATACACATCACTCACACCTACTTCCTGCATGACAGTATATAACCATACATAAACTGCTACTAATATAAAAATCAGTCTGGTAAGAGGCATTAAAAGAACATAACTGCTGCATGACCAGGACAATATCTTAGAACTGGCATGCTAAAACAAAATCCATGCGTGGAGGCATGGGATTCTGTAAGAGTCATATGTAACAGAGCAAAAACAGGAATTATTCCAGGGGCAAGGTGCTAAATATAGGGGAGTCACTATGGAAGCCATCAGAATCTCTCATAAGATGTAGCACTTTGTCCCAGAATAGCTGTCCTATCTTGCCCTACAAATGGCCCTACATACTTCCATCAGTCTTCCCAGAGCTAGCCACTTTCTGAACTTCTAGTCCGGGAATAAATAAATAAGGGGTGTAGCCTACATTCTGAATTGTACTGCATTAAAATGAAATTTAAAAATGAGAGCAATTATCTTTGCAGTGTGTGTGTGTGTGCACGCATTAATATGCACACTGCTTTCATAGTTTTTAATTATTATTTTTTTACATTTTGTGGTTAGTGCTGTTTTGTTTTCATCTTGTAATATTCTGACACCATATGGTGAGTGTGTAGTAGGGACATGAGCTTAGTCAATTTACATTTACAGTATGAGAGTGAAGAAGTACAGGTGTTTGAGGGTAAATCTGTGCTAGTGCTATCTTTCTGGGGTCAATGCAGTGGGAGGAATTACATGTTTGCACGGATAAGGGTTTGTAATTACAATTGATTACTAGTAAGAACATTGTAAGAATCGAGTTAAAACAGGAAAACAAAAAGGTATTTTGAGAGAGATAAATATACTTAGCATTGCGAGTCCAATGAATTGATTAATTCAGTCAATACAAAATTTGGTCTAATTCCAAAATTGCCAGAATATGAGCAAAGTGACCCACAAACACTGACAGACTGATAATGAAGGTTTAGATGTATGAGACACAGAACAGTTGTTACAATTAAGTTACTTCCTGCACTAGAAACAATATATAATCAAGACTCCTGATGCAATATTGTTTTTGAGACTCGAACGGTGGTCTCTATTGTAGTGTTAGCCAATGTTAACTGCTCCCTTCTTGTAGGAGACCACATGCTAGTGTCCAGCATAGTAAGTATGGTTTTAGATATAACTGAATAAGCAAGGATAATAATCCTTTTACATAATAAGCTTTTTTCCATGAGACCATATTTACATAATTTAGACATGCTCCTGTAACACAAGAACAAAGCTTTGCAGAAATAAATATTTACTAGTCTTCGGATGGATATTGACACAATGCTTGAACCTTGTTAAACTGCTGCTGGATGACCTATCAGACAAATTGTCTGGAATCCTGTTCATATGGCCCACAAGACTCTGGAACATTGGTGGAAAGAACCACAAGACTGACAAACTGGAGATACAGCCCACAGGATTCTGGAACTCTTGTGTTATGGACCATCACAAACCAGGCTCCTGGATTATACTAGGTTTTCTGACTTTTGGTGGAGGTGTTGGTGGTTTTGATTCTTCACGCTGTGGTAGTGGGGGAGGAATCTGTGGGGAAAACCGCAAACTGAATAATCAAGAAAGCACACAAAAACACTACTGTCTCACAAAGGTCTAGATAGGTAAATATTGAACCAACCATAGTTCTTTTAACCTACCTCTAATGAAAATCGTTGACTGCCCTCATGAGGTCTGATTTTAGGAGGGGGTGGAGGAGGTTCCATAACCTGCTCAGTTATACTACCTTGAGTAGAAAGGGATGGAAAACCTGCAGAAAGCAAAATGAATGGCATTACAGTTGAAGAATAGAGATGTCGCGAACCAATCGCGAACTTCCCGCAAACGGCTCGCCACGAACCGTTCGCCACGAGCTCCGGTCAGCTGACACATCCCGGCCAATCTCCAGCAGACCCTCCCTCCCAGACCCTTCCACCTCCTGGAGAGCATCCATGTTGAAACATGGATGCTGTCCAGGAGGTGGGAGGGTCTGGGAGGGAGGGTCTGCTGGAGATTGGCTGGGATGAGTCAGCTGACCGGAGCTCGCGGCGAGCCGTTTGTGGGAAGTTCGCGAACGGTTCGCGACATCACTATTGAAGAATATGCAAAGTTTTAAAAAGTTATATAAAGAAAAAGGGTCCATGAAGTACAGTAATTCAGTGTACTTACTATGAGTTCTTGGAGTCCGTGGGGTGATAGGCTGAGGACCCTGCATTGATACTACTTGATTGAGTGATCCAGAGTGGAGTGAAAGTCGTCCCTCTGATAACTGCAGACTTTTTGGGCGCTGGGACTTGAAGGATGAGCTGTGGGCATTGATCTAAAATCAGAGTAGGAGATAAAGATGACTGCTTTCAATTGCACAACAATGGCTTTAACCTACCGCCATTAAAACAGAAATGACACAAGTATCATACACAGTTATGCTCTTCACATAGACTATGGCACAAGGAGCTCCCAGCTTTGGTCTGCCTTCCTTTTATTCTGTAACACAGTAATAATTTACTAAAATGATCAGAGCTATATTTCCACCCCCATTTTTGTGACATCATTTGAAAAGTAAAAATCTTGTGGAAAGTGTGCATTCATGATGTGTCACAAAATGCAATTCCTAATGAAGATAAATTATAATTTGGCTGAGGATGCAGCACTCTGTACAATTTGCATATCCCAGCACAGGAATTTATGAGATATAGTGTTCCAAAGTCAGCTTTCTATTGAAAAATGTTTTGAGATATGTGCCGTTTCCCACAAAACAGATTGTTGCTGTAGATCCTATGAATTTGCAGAATCCAAGGAATATTCAGTATCTTATTCTTGCACATATGCAGCACTTTCATTCCTAATTCTACTTGCCAACATGAGCTCACCTCCTTCTCCCTATGATGTTCAGATATCACTTGTGACTGGCTCACATTACGCTTCAGCTTCAATCCACGGACATCACTATCTTCTCGGTCGTTAGGATCTTCCAGTCGAGAGATTAGAGATCCTCGTCTGGGAGGAACAGGGTCAGGGATGGATCTGGGAAGAATAGAAAAAAAGTAAGAGTCCAAGTATAGTGCAGACAAGGACAGAGAACAGTTGGAAGGAGGAATGAGTTAAAAACCAAAAGCATACACTTCAGAAGCTGGTCTAGAGCTGCTACTACCACTCCCTGAGGATGAGGAGGAAACTGTGGACAACCTTCTTAGAGTTGCTGATGTGATGTATGGAACAACTACAGATCCAGCACGACTCAATTTCCTGTCCGTCAAACTGGAAGGCTAAAAAAAAGTAAAAGACAAAAAACTGGAGTCAACTAATGAGAATATGTTACATCCCCAAAGACAAAAGAGGACATTAAAAAAAAATAAAGAAATTGGACAAAAAAATATACCTCTTTACATTTTAACTGCGTATAATTCTCTTCTGGTGTATTTTTATTTTTTGAAATATATGTACAGTGGTAGCCTAGCTGCTAAATACATTCCCTTCCCCTATGCCACTAACGTCTTTTATAAACCTTGCCAATTTCATGGTTTGTCAGATTAGCCAGTGCCAGTCTGGCTACTGCTTTATTCTGTATGTATTGCGTCATTCATCCCTCAAGCATCTACTACTTATACTCACATTGTGCAATTCTACCTACGCCTCGCTGTTAATTGTAGTTTGGCCACCTTACAAATGATACATAACACAATGCACTCCCCCCACATTACCCAGTTGGTTATTGTAACATTACCCCAACCCATTATTCATTACATCTCCAGTCTCCAACATAAATCATTTTTTTTATTGTACTTATTTTACTGTAGAGCTTTCCTTTAGTTTTAAATACACAAAATCGATTGCATATCCCATTACCAGGGTTATTGTCCCATATAGCTTTTCAACTTTTTTCCTGAGATTCTGGAAGCAGGACACAAGTCTCTCGTGGAGGGGTCGAAGGTTCTCAGTGAGCTTCTCCCCATGGATTGCTATACCTTGAGCAAGAAGGGGCATCTAAAGCACGGAGAAGAAAATATAGGAACGATGAAAAGGGAACAAAGATGCCAAGGAAAGATATGAGAATTACAAGGAGTGTAGACAAAGCAGGACAGAGAAATATGCAAAGCATGAAGTACAACAAAGGGAGAGGGAAATGAGAGAGAGAAAAAGAAAGAATAGAGTAAGAGATAACAAATGGAAGTATTTGTTTAGTAAAATGTCTAGATTGGAGAAAAGATCATTTTCAAGGCAGATCAAAAGGTAAGAACATAAAAAGTGACATGACATCTACCTGCAGAGCAATTAGCTCTTTTAGCAGCTCTATCTTATCCTGGTCTGCCGGATGGTCATGGAGATAGCGCTCGGTGAAGAAAGCCTGAGATAGAGAGCACAAGGGGATAAGACAGGCTAGAGAGTTATTCGCATGGTATAGAGAACATAATTGAAAAGACATCAATCTGAACTTTACTGGAGCATGTGTCAATACCATGCTAGAGCTGTGTGGACCACACAAACACAGGTATGTAGAGCTATTATGCCAACATGGATTGAACGGTCACAGTGGCTTACAGAACCATAGCTATCTTTAATCTTCGCTTAGCATATACATAGGACTATTACCATCGTACAGGTCTGTCTTACTCTGCCAAAAATAAAGTTTAGTTTAAAAATACTATACTACAAGAAATGCACGTCCTCCTTGACTATGCAAAGTGTCTTGTCAAGCAAATGTGAACCAGGAACAAAAGAAGAATATAACAGGTTTATGTTATGTTACGGATGCATCTTGTGGAAAGTTATGAAGGACACACACAGTAATAAATATCACACAGCTACATGTCACAAAAATAAGTACAGGTGTAATCCCACCTTTTCATAGTTGGAGAATCCCCCCATGACTGCAGGATCTACAATACCACTGATAAGCATGGAAATTGGGTGCAGTGGGAGGCTTGGGTCAGCCCTGTGCTGCTGGACCTGATGACTTATCTTCTCATTGGTCAGTTCCATTGTCTCAATGGCATTCTGCAGGGGGCTGATCTCTTCCTGTGAGACAAGTACAGAGATCATCATGAAGCATCACTATAGCAGCATTCCATATATTAGTCTTACATTTCCTTAGGGCCTCAGATATGGTTCCAGTTAAGCTTATTGTGAATTGGGAAAACTACCACTAAAAAACCTTAATACCAAAATAATAAACATTATCAAATGTGTACTCTGGCAAGAGACTCGCTCATTTGTCAGTACACTCTAACTCATTCTTTAAGAAAGGATGCATGCCCAGTTCTAAACTTTTTACAACTTACCGTATGGAAGTGTTTGACTTCAAACCATTTTAGGATCCCAGGTAGTTTATATGCAGTGCTGAAAGTAGTCCTTTCAATCCACATGGTCTGCAAGGCAAAGGAAATAGGTTACTAATAATCATAGGTGTGCGCAAGGGGTGTGTCTGGCACACCCTTATGTGGGGTTCAGTTATCCACGCTGTCCTCATTAGCACGTATAGCTTATTATCCTGTCATAGGTGAAGATTATCTTTTGTCTTTGTAATTTTTTTTTTTGGACTAGATCAAAAATCTTTTTTTTCCCTCTTCTCATATTTGAGGTCTGTAATATATAGCTTAGCCACATTTTATCCTTGTTTGTGTGTGTGTGTGTGTATATATATATATATATATATATATATATATATATATATACACATATACATATATATACATATACATACACACACATATATATATATACATACATACATATACACACACACACACACACTATTACAATCCCAAGGAATACATTACATAAATATATATATATATATATATATATATTATTATTTTTTTTTTTTTTTTAAGACCTTTACACCAGGAATTATCTGTATAGATAAAGGTCTTTAAAAAATAAATAAAACCAAATCAGCAGGATCATTCTGCTGCATTTATTGGTGACTACTCCGCTGTTAGAACTTTGCTCGCACAATCTGTATTTACAAATGAAAAGATTACTATGAACCAACTGCCTTGACTTTCTGTACAAGATGAACATATATGGAAAAATAAATGCAAATTCTCACCGCAAACTCGTTGTCTGGGTCTTTCTCTCCTTTCCTAATTGGCCTGGAGTAGGAAAAACTCTGCACTTCATTATATCGATAATAACTGTAGATACACACAAGTTGAGTGGTCAGAAATTACACTTCTAGATTATTGTTTAATACAGAGTCGTCATTATTGCAGTTTGTTATAATAAAAAGCTAAAACAATTGTGTGAAAGGTGCACTGAGATTTAATCTGTTGGGAATAAATTTAATCTGTTGGGAATAAACAGAGCACCCCAAACATAGCAACCTTCACACACCCTGCACCCCTCACACACGCAGTGCACCCTTAACACATTACATTCTAGACACACACACCCTAGATCCTGTACATAACTATGGATCCTCTATACACACACACACACTAGAATCCCTATACACACTCTGAATCCTCTATATACACACTACATTAATGACATACACACACTAGATCCCCTGTAAGCAAACATACACTTCTTTCCCTAAACACAAACTTTACAACCCCTACACACACTACATCATCTATACATACATACACTACAGCCCCTTAAGAGTGTTCCTGTAAATGTAACTATATTGATGAGACTTTCTTCATCATTCCAAAATGTTACCATTATTATAAGGATACATATCTTGATTACAAAAAGCCAATACAACAGTGGTAGGCAACCTTTGACATCTATAGGGCCAAAGGCTGCCTACCCCTGCAATAGAAAATTCATAAAAATATTTAAGGAACACTTTTGAGTCAGGAACACGAACATGTATACCTGACCCCATAGTGTTAAAACCACCATCTAGCCCCCTTGGTCCCACTAAATAAAGTAAAATCTTACTTGCATTCAAGTTTGCAGCTGCTGCCTCTAGAAGCGTCTCTCTAATTAGGCGATTTAGGCAGCCGCCTAAGGCCTTGCACTTGCTGGGGCCTCAGGGCTGTCTAAATTTCCTTAGGCAGAGTGACATGTCGGGTCCTCAGTCAG